AATTATCAGTATCTACATGAGGTACAGAGCATAAGATCTAACTTCTGAGAAGGGGCTATAACATCATGAGGAGAACAGTAGGAAGCTCACTTACTAACAGAAAAATATCACAGCTCTAACTTAACTTTTATCAGGAATAAAGCTGACATTTTAGTCTTGATATTTTTAAATTCCCTATTAATGGGTTCCAAAGTCAGAGATGAAATAATTTACACTGTATACTGAATCCTTAAACTACAGCAAGGATAACTAATGTCAATATAATGGCAAGGGAAAAAAACAATTTTTAATTAGTGACTAGGACTCCACATCCACAAGAAATAGAGAATACTCATAATTAGATATTTTCAGAAATATGGGCATCCATATATGTTGTATGATGGCATATTTATTACTTGATCTAGGAGATTCTTCTAGAGTACACTCATACTACTAGATAGATGCTAGACAAACTATATATTTATTAGCATCTAACAAAATTTTGTTATTGCTAACTATGATTCTTTAATGAGAATATTTTTCTGGGAGCCTATTGAATCTATTTTCTGACTTTTATTTTTTAGGATGGAGAGAAAAATTAGATGCTTATATTTTTATAGAATATACTTTAAGTCCAAATAGATCTACTTTCAAAATCCAGTTTAGCCATTGACTGTCTAGTTAGGGGCAGATTAAGATGTTTTCTCTATTTTCTTATGGGTAAATTATGGATAAGTAACTATTCATTAAATCTATCTCACAATTAGTAAAATAGATAATTTATGGAAGACATTAAATAAATCATGGCAAATAATGCTTCATAAAATATGATGATGATGATGATGATGATGATGATGATCCTTGGAATTGTGGAAATTACCAAGAAAAAACCCAGAAACTTTGGAATAATAAACCTAAGTAGGAAAAGGAAATAAGAACTAGAAGATGATATATGGCATGTGACATTATTCTGTAAGGTCCAAAACAAATAATACTAAACAAGATATGTGTCAACAATAATGATTCAACTACAAAAATTAAAACAAGTAAATAAAGAATAGAAACAATATAAAACTGTGTTTATTCATGAAGAGATGAGGGACAGAATACCAAAGAAGCACGTAGAATATGCAAATAATTGCCAATATATTCAAGGAGAGGGCTAGAATACTGTCAATAATTGTGATTCATTCTGTTCTCTTGCCCTGAATTCCATGAAAACTACAAAAGAATTCAGATTAAATTGTTGTGAGAGAAAAGAGCACAGAAAGTGATTGGAAGAGGAATATATAAACATATATTTTAATGTTTCAGAAAATTATGAATTCAATATTATCTCTAAGATATCAATCCTAACAAATTCTTTTCAAAAGTCCCTAATGAGAATTCCAGCTGATTGTGCATGAATAAGAAAACTGTAGGTCAATCACTTATAGACATTCAGGATATGACCTGCTCAGGGTTAATGACATTTTTGGAATTTGGATGCTTAGGTCTAAAAAGTTTAAAAGAGCATGTGCTAAACTGAGGATACTTTATGATGAAATAAATATATGTGAGCATTCTTAAATTATTGCTTTAAAAGTTTTAATCCTTATTAATTCTAATAAATAACTTAAATGTGGAATATTATTCTAGAGAACGGAATATTATTCATCACTAAAGAGAAATGCACTATCAAGTCATGAAAAGACATGGAATAACCTTAAATGCACATTCCTAAGTGAAAGAAGTCAATCTTAAAAGGTAAATACTATAGGATTCCAACTCTATGACATTCTGGAATAGGAAAAACAGTGGAGACAGTAAAAAGATTAGTGGCTGCCAGGAGGTGCATGAAGGAAGGAGCACAGACAATCTTTAGGGCAACGAAAATATTCTTTAAAATATCATAACAATAAATACACATCATTTTGTATTTGTCCAAATTGAGAGGATGTGCAACAACAAGAATAAATCATAGAAAAAAATAAACAACTGTGGACGTGGGGTAATAGATTATGATGTGTCAGTATAGGTTATCTCTGGTAACAAATGTACCACTTTGGTAGGGCAGGTTCACAAGGGAGGAATCTATGTATGCGTAGGGCGGAAGGCATGTAGAAAATGTTCTCACTCTCCCCTCGATTTTGCTGTGAACCTAAAACTGCTCTAAAACATACAATCTAAATTTTAAAAAATAGATGGCTTGTTTCTCACTGGAACTGACTCAGAGATGCGGTATAGAATATATGTGATTAAAAAAAAAATCCACCCCAGACATTTGAAACAGTTTTTTCTAAATATGATTCATCTCAATCAACTTTGTTATATTGTTTATCAGTATTTATAAAAGTCTTTTTCTAACAAATAGAGAGTTGGTTAAATACAATCTGAATAAGTAACTACTTTGATACCAACCATTCTGGAAGATGGTATCTAGGCTAAATCAACATTTGAATAACATAATAAACTACCTGAAATGTATATAACAATAGCAATAGCACACATCTGAAATTTAAGTATGAAGACTAAGTGCTCAAACTATTGCCTAAAGAAGTTCAATATTTATATTTATTTGTTAAGACTGCAGGTCCTGAAAACTGGTAGGAAAAGCAATTGCATAACATAATTTAGCAATAGTCACAATTGATATTCAAGTTAGTGGTTTATTGTCTACTCCTTTAAAAATGTCAGGTTTTGTAGTATGTAATCAGCTGGAATGGAAGCGTCATCCCAATTGCATCTTGAATGATAAGAAGGTTGGTAAAGCACAATCCTCAATTTTTAATATTTCAAATATGAAGCATTTGGGAAATTTGACATATTAGACTTCAGATGTTGTCTCTTTATGACAATATTATCAACAAGAAAGTGGAAACACAGTAATACATTATGCTGACAAAGATTATAACTACTGTGGATACAGGAACATTTCCTATTGCAATTTATTCTGGCTCTTTTAAGAATGTTATTCAGAAATGACAAGGCACAAATGAAAAATAGAATCCTAAATATTTTTTCATATTAAATTGTAATTACTCTGCCAGACAAAAACACATACATTCATGGGCATGCACAGCACTTTTAACTTTTATTTTGATGTAATTTTAGACTTAAAAGATTTATGAAAAAAATGTATCAATGTATACCCCTTATTCAGCTTCCCCTCATCTTAGCATTGTACATACTAATAGAATATTCATCATCACCAAAGAATTAACTTTGGTACAATAATATTAGCTGAAGTACAGAAGCTTTTTAGATTTTACCTGTTTGTTCACTAATACGACGTTTTTTCTATTCAAGGATCCAATCCAAGGTGCTACATTACATGTTGTCATTTCTTCTTAAGCTCACTCCATTCTAGAACTCTGTCTCCTTGCATTTCATTATCTTCCTTCATTTGAAGACAACTGGTGAGATATTTTGTTTAATGTATCTCGATTTGTGTTTTTATGATTAGATTGAGATTATGCATTGTAGGGAAGATACCAGGTACGTGATATGCTCTTCTCACTGTTTCACACGAGGAGGGTATAATGATGTCAACATTCAATACTGCTAATATTATCCATGACCACATGGATAAAGTGACTTCTTCTAGGATTCTCCAGTTGTAAAGTTACTATTTTTTCCCTTTGTAATTACTAAATGATTTGAAGGATGTACTTTGACACGAGGCAAATAGCCAGTTTTTTCCTTAATATTTCACCTACTAATTTAGCATCATAGGTAGTGTTCTAGTGGTGATTTTCTATATTCTTCATTCCTTCTACATTTAATCATTAGCACACATCTGCAAGAAGTTATTACCCATCCTCCTTTTATTGATTCCCCCGAATTTATTTAAATAGTTATTAATTTATGGGTATTTATTCTGTTTTGGGATTAGAATCCAATACTTTCATTATTTATTTTTGTTATTTATTCATTTTGTTGCTTGAGCTTTCCCAACTTTGGTCATTAGGAGCTCTTTTATTGATGTGCAATGCCTCTGCTCTTCCACCAAGTCTTCACCAGTCCATGCATCCTCTTTTTTTATGCACTTTTCACTTTGTAGCACTGTAAGAGGCTCCAGGATTATCTTGTATTTTCCTTGCTATAGTTCCGAAGCCCTGTTATTTTGTATGTAGTACTTAGAGACTGAGATTTGAGAACCAGTGTGCTTATTGTTGCTGAAATGTCATTTCTTTACTTTTCTTAATCCATAAAGCTAGGAGAGCTAGGAATATATACTAGCTCATACATGCATGCTTACACACCCACCCATATCGATTTCTCTCTCTGTACATACATTTTAATAATATGTACATGAGGCTATATTGATACCTTTACCTGACATCAGTTCCCATGTTCATTCTAGTCTTCCCTCTTTCTTATTTAGAACTTTTTTCCTACTGTGAAAAACCTACCTATCCTTGTCTATACTGCATATACTTCTATTTTCTACCCTACTGTATAAATAATTAGCTTCAAAATTCTTAAACCACACTTCTGTTTGAAATAAATTTATCAACCAGAGCACAGAGTTTTTGTACGGTTTCTTTGTCTTTAGCTTTACAGTATCCCGTCAAAATACGTACATCAGCCACTTTCCCATGTTATTCAGTTCCTTTTAATTCATTGTAAGACACATTCATTTGTCACATCCTACATTCCATCTTTCTTCTCACATCCGAGTGTATATTTTCAAAAATTCACGTAGAGGCAAACTCATTTTCTTTGTGCTATATTCTTCTGTCAGTGTTAGCGAATGCATAGACTCATGTAGCCGTGAACATGGTATGTGCAGACTGCATTCACCCTGGAATCTCCTAGGCTAACTTCCTCTCAACTCTTACCCACTACACTTGGCAATCACGGATCTGTTTTTCTCCCTAGCTTTACCTTTCCTAAATTGTCATATACATTGAATCACACAAAATGAATCTGTAGATGTTATTTCACTGCAAAATACACATGTAGGACTCTTGAATGTTCTTGAATACATCAATTCAAGATACCTTGTTGCTCTTGAAAATATCAGTAGTTTGTCACAGCACCATATATTTAAACCTATGAATGGGAATTTGCCTCTTTCCTGGTTCCACTGTAGAGTGAAAGAATTCCTGGCTCTTTCTGTTGCAGAGCTGACTTTGTGACATTCTGCTGTTGCTGTACAGAGTTGGGTAACATACCTTAAAAAAAAAATAAGTAGTTTCTCACTTTTGGTGGTTCAAACAGCATTCACTGTATATAGGGCCATACTTTGTTTACCATTTGCTAGTTGTGGGACATTTTGAATTGTCTCCACTGGAGAAATTATGAAGAAAGCTGCTATTCAGTTCAGTCATTTTTGAATATTTACATTCTTTAAATATTTTTTGTGTTGTGATGGTAAAACTGTATTCTATTTTTTAATGTTTGTTTATTTTTAAGAGAGAGAGAAGAAGACAGACTGTGAGGGAGGGGTAGAGATAGAGGGAGACACAAAAAACTGAAGCAGGCTCCAGATCGTCAGCACAGGATCCAGTTCGGGGCTTGAATTTAGGAGCCCCGAGATTATGACCTGAGCTGAAGTCAAACACTTAGCCGACTGTACCACCCAGGTACCCTGGTAAAACTGCATTCTAAAAGTGTTTTTAAAAATATATATATAAAAAAAAAAACCACTTCTAATGAGTTCCCTTCAGTTACTTTATTAGTATGTGATTGCAAACTGACTTCAGAGTTAATCTACTCAAAATCTGGGGACAAACTTTCTGTGTTGTTTTAATATCTTTCATGATAAGGTAATTTTTTTATTGTTTTTATTTATTTCTGAGAGACAGAGAGAGAGAGCATGAGCAGGGAAAGGTCAGAGAGAGAGGGAGATACAGAATCTGAAGCAGGCTCCAGGCTCTGAGCTAGCCATCAGCACAGAGCCCAATGCAGGTCTCGATCCCAGGGACCATGACCTGAGCCGAAGTCGGAGGCTTAACCTACTGAGCCACCTAGGCGCCCCATGATACGGTAATTTAAAAATGAACCAGAGTTTGGCTTTTTGATTTTTTTTACATTTATTTATTTCTAGAGAGACAGAGAGGGACAGATCACAAGCCGGGAAGGGGCAGAGAGAGGGTGACACAGAATCTGAAGCAGGCTCCAGGCTCTGAGCTGTAGGCACAGAGCCCTACATGGGGCTCGAACTCACAACCATGAGATCATGACCTGAGCCGCTCAACCCACTGAGTCACCCAGGAGCCCCTGGCCTTTTGTAATAGAAAATATTTTAATTTTCTGAAGAGCTATTGGACATGTTCTAAAGATTGTTGAAGATAATATTCATAGTAATTTTGTCTCTAGCACTAATAGTTTTTAATTATGTGTCTACTGTATAAAAGCCTAAACACTTTATAAAATTCTGGATTGGTATTGAAATTAGGTCAGATTCCTATGTGTACTTTGAACTAAATATCTCAAAAGAGTTAAATTACTTTATAAAACTAATTTTTTCCAATTCTCCAAACTATTTTAGGAACAGAAAAGATAAGCTGTGTCTTCAGAAACTTAGTCACTATCTCTCCTTTTCCTTCCAAAACTGCATTTCAGAAAATAAAAAGGATTTTTAAAAGCTGGTTACTGTTTTACAATGGAGCTGTTTAATAACTTTAAAAATTACATTGATTGAATGGTTACAAGACCAAAACTAAGGAAAGATAATTTTAATAATCCCTCCTTTATCTAGACATGCTGGTGCTTTTTATTCCATAAATGAAAATTTTATTTCATTATCATTATAATAGGTAAAACAAGTGCCTTTGTCAGAGGCTAGAATTTCCAACTTCAGTTAAACTTCAGCATGACTTTTGTGTTAAGGACATACATAGAATAGACAAATCGTTCCCCAGTTTTTTTCTTACCAACTTCATAGTTTTCTGTATTGCCATCATTGATTCTAGGTGTGATATTATTAAATTATTAAATTCAACCATTAATAATAATTAAATAATAATTAAAATACTCATAATTTGTATGATTTTAAATTTTTATTATATTAAACCTTTAAAAAATGTTTATTTATTACTTTCGAGAGAGGGAAAGAGCGCAAGTGGGGGAGGGGCAGAGACAGAGGGAGACAGAATTCAAAGCAGGCTCCAGGCCCTGAGCTTTCAGCACAGAGCCCCACGCAGGCCTCAAACTAATCAAAGTTGAGATGATGACATGAGCTAAAGTCAGATGCTTAACGGACTGAGCCACTCAGATGCCCCTCTGGTATTTTCACTTTTAAAATGGATGAATCTATTCTAAGTTTTGTTTTTAGTTTATATTATCTTAAAAATCATTAATCATAGTATGTCTATATTGTTAGATATAAATTAAAAACAAATACTTCAGTTCTCAGATTATGTCAAATGACTCATAGATGCTTTTACTTTTGTATAAAGTAAAATAGCACATTCTGTAACGGGGACTTACTGAATATTGGCAAATTCTTATTTATCTAATTTTCAAAATTAGGGAAATTATTTTTACCTTAAATATTTATTATCTTTCAGACAACTATAAAATTGTTTTTTAGTGTTGGAGTAATATTACATAAAGTTCACCAATGTCCCCAAAATTTATAATATGTCTTCCAGGTTCTTATAATGAAATTAGGCATATTAAATAAAATTTTCCCTAAGAAGTTCTCCATAAGAATATGTATTTTATTTCAGCTAAACTAGCAATGCATAAAACCCCTAAAATATGAAAATTATAGAATAAATATATCTGTTTTTGCATAACTGACGCCAAATAATTGGCCATTGGCAAGAGATTAGAATAATCAAATTTACTCTAAGTCATCATGAGCTTAATAATAATGAAAAACTCACTTTAAATCCCAGCTTGGCCATCTCTCAGCGTTCTGTTTGTTCCTTTAAATAGGACTGCCAATATGTAAACCAAGTACTGCAATATTATTGGTATTCTCAAGGTATTTACAGTTAGTAATAATCAACTAACATAATTCATTATTGTCGATCATGATTTCCAGAAATTAGAGCCAACAGTCATATGCTGATATAGCTTGAGAGGTGTGCTCAATTTTGTTGGGTGTTTAGTATAAGAAACAAAGGCACCTGTGTAAGTTCTTCTTGATTGGAAGCTCTTTCAGATTTTATAGTGTTGATATTACTGTTTTGTTTTCATAACAATTGAGAAAAATGAAGAGAGGACATACATTCTACCACCTATAAATAGTATTTTGAACTGAAATTAAATGACTTCAAAACATCATTAGATAAGCTAATACAGATAGACTGATTTCCTAAATGTGTATATGCCCTCAATATTCTTTTAAGAATGTCATATATAGAGACTAAATATTGTAAAATAAATGCATAATTATTTCCTTTTCACTCTATTTTGTTTAGCCATAGAGTTTTGTTTTTTTATATTCTCTTCTGTCTCTCTAATTACACTTTTTGGTAGTCTCTGTCATTTCCATTGCTTTCATATAAATAGTAGCAAATCACAGTTGTCAAATTGTTATAATTATGGACTTTTCTGGAAAGATTCTTGTCAGCAACATCTTAGATCTTCAGTTCTTAGTCCAAATGAGATATAACTTAGAGTGTTCTCATTCACTTTATTTAAAAACTTTTTCCCAAATTTCTTTTCTTTTCTTTTTAGACAGAGTGCATACATGCTCACAGTGGGGGAAGGGCAGAGGGAGAGAGACAGTCTCAAGCAGGCTCCATGCTCAGCACAGAACCTGAGATGGGCTCAATATCAGGACCTTGAGATTATGACCTGAGCTAAAATCAAGAGCTGGGCACTTAACCAAATGAGTCACCTAGGTCCCCTGCCAAATATATATATATATTTAATTTTTTAAAATATTTGTTTATTTTTGATAGAAAGAATGAAAGTGAGTGGGATCAGGGGAGGGTCAAAGAGAGAGAGGGAGACACAGAATCCAAAGCAGGCTCCAGGCTCCAAGCTGTCAGCACAGAGCCATACGCGGGGCTCAAACTCACGAACAACGAGATCATGGCCTGAGCCAAACTCGTAAGCCCAACCAACTGACCCACCCAGGCACCCCCTGTCAAATATCTTAATAACTGACTAAATGGTCTCAATACTATGTCTTTTCTCTCTGATGTCCTCTTTCAACTTCATTGTTTTGAATTCAAAAATCTATCTTTTCTTATTTCTAAGAATGTTAAAAACATCTTGAGAACATTAAAGAAATCTGATATAGATTTTTATGAAAGATAAGTCCTATATCTTGGGATGAAGTTAATAGTTTTATTTCTGCTTTTGTTTCCTGAATTTCACAGAATGAGCAAATGTGACTTTTTGCATACTATAATGCGTTTCCTAGTTTGATGATTGTACGTTCCTACATTAAAAATGGTTGCTGAATGCTGTGTCTTTACTAAACAAGGACATAGCATGAGATGCTGAACCTTAAAAAATCAGCAAAAACCTTACACATCAAATCAATGAATCATTTGCTTTATTTCTGATTCACATGTCTTTGTTATTTGGCTTTCAGTCATAGATCTTTGGTATCATGATGAAATTCTTGTACTTCTACCTTTTCTGTAACTCTGTCAGCAACACATTAAATGTATGCCTGTTCCCCTACTCCTTGGAGCAGTAGAGGAACAAAGTTATTTTCCTTCTCTATGAAGCTGTTCTTCAGAAGAGAGCTGTCCATGGTAGCAGCTCAGGGTGTCCATCCAGAACACGTAGAGTTCCTTTTGGACAAGAGTGAAACTTTAGTTATGTTATAAGTGATAAACATTTAAGCATTTGAAATTACAGGGGCGCCTGGGTGGCTTAGTCGGTTAAGCGTCCGACTTTCGCTTAGGTCATGATCTCGGGGTTCGTGGGTTCCGGCCCCGCGTCGGGCTCTGTGCTGACTGCCAGCTCAGAGCCTGAAGCCTGTTTCAGAGACTGACTCCCTCTCTCTCTGACCCTCCCCTGCTCACGCTCTCTCTCTCTCTCTCCTAGAAATAAATAAAACATTAAAAGAAGAAAAGAAATTACATAATATTATCCACTCCTCCTTTTTTTTAAAGCATCTTCCTTTTAATGCACACTGAAAAAGAACACTTTTATTGGCACAGTCATTCCTTTCCTTGTTAAATTAACAGGGCGAAGCAGTGATTTTTAAAGTCTAAAGCTGGTTTCTCCTAAACTAATTTCATTGTGGTATTAGAAG